CCCTCCTTTGAAAAATCCTGGCTACGCCCCTGAGGGGTGATACTGTCAGGAGAAATTAGATGCTAGTCACTCTTGAGGAATAAAGGGTGAAGTAAAGAGAGAACTTGTACCTGGACAGTTCGCCGCCATATTTATAGATGGCCTCTTTGGTGATGAGTCTGTTAGTCCTTCTCATTTCGTTCAGCACGTTTGTCATCCAGTCTTCCACTCGTCCCTCGGCCGCCACTGGCTGCCTGAACTCCATCACTTCAGCTTCGCTACTGAGCATGGCAGTGGCCAGCATCTCTTCACCAGTCCCTTCTTCAAAACGTAACTTAGCAATGTTGTCGAACATCTAAAAAAGAAGAGCACCGGTAAAATTAGAAAGTCAATTTGAAGCTATTGCAAGGAGCCGCGAGCAAGGCGCGACGACTCATCGATAACTGCGTTTTAAACAGGTCAAAGAGGTCAAGGCTCGGGTTCCTAACCGAGGTTATCGTAATACCGTAAATGGTTTGAACCCGGGAGTAATTTGCAATAAAATTGGCTCTGGTTACCTTGATCATATGTTCTTGTACGCACTGTGGATCATGGCTGCCGAGAATAGAGAGCAGTTCGTCGTCAGAAATAAAGAAAAACCTTGGAAAGGCGTTCCTCTTGGAGTCCAGGTAATCATTTAAACTCTTCTGGCATTTTTCCAAACCAGCCACCAACATCTGCAGCTGCTCCAGACGACTGGCGGCATGACAAGCTTCTAACACTTTTGGATTCTTTGCAGTGTCGCTCATGATCTGAAGACATAAAGAAGGTGAAGTCCATTAAGTGCCAGATGAATTCTTTCAGTAACACAGGCATACTTGGAGGAAAATTGCTCCTAACAGGAGTCCAACCAAGACAAGATGAGAGAGAGAGGGGCGCGGCCGGGCGAGACATTTAAGGTGTTGACTGGAACATGTCTATCCCCGAAAGTCGTAGTTGGTATTAGAGGTAAAAAGGGTGTTTTTCCAGAATTCTGCATAATTTCTCCCTCTGAAGTCTCTCTCAGCATACAAGAATAATTCGTTTAACAATCAAAGCTTCTTAGAATGACGATAATTCCCTTCATTCTCATGAAATTGATGAATGATTCAGCCTTGCTCTCTGACCCTTACAATCTCACAATCGTTAATTTCTTGGCACACACTCACTCTAGCAACAACAAAAGCGTAACATGCTACAAACCTTCTTAAATGTCTTATCGATGTCATCGAATTTTTTGGCCTCCTCTGGAAGCTGAGCTCTGATGTCTCCACCGATGAAGATGCTTTCGAGGTACATCCATTTTCTTTGCACAACCATCCAAACCTGAGAAGGAAAAGAAAAAGCGATCCCAGACCGTGGATACCAGATAATGTCTACAACGCTACATGACAGCTGTTTTCTAAAGACGTCGATGGTTTTTCAAGATTCCACCTCGGGTAAGGCTTACAATGGGGATCATAAAAATTTCCTTTACTTATTTAAATTGAGTGGTTTTGATGTTTAGTCGCCTTTTAAACAAATGTCCTATCTGTCGGTTGCCATATTTAAACCCGTTTCCAAATTAATCATTACAGCCAATCAGAACACAGGGAAATGTCTCAATGAGCCAATGAGAACTGAAAGTAAAAACCAGCAAACTACCTAAAGCGCGGGTAAACGCGGGTGACAAACTCGTGATTGGTTTTAGTTCTGCATATGAGTGGTGGGGGGAGTGGCATGAGTTTTCTAGACCAATCAAAGAACGAGGTAAAGCAAAAAAACAAAGAAATCCTGACACTTACCTCAACCACCTCTCCGATGTGCGATAAACTCTTCTCCCACTTGTTAACGGTTTCCAAGAACGGTCCCACGAACCGCGAGGCGGACATGCTTTGCAAGTTCATGGCATTATCATCCAGAATTTGCAGGATTTCATCAACAGCTCCCAAAATAAAGCCTCTCTCTTGTGTTCCCTTCATAAACTTGGACACAGTGAATTTCATAGCACCCCACGTGTCACCCACTTCACTGATACCTTTCTCGATCCCAAGCTCCTTTGTGGCACTAGCCGTGATGTCACCGATTACATCCTGGAACTTGTGTAGCTCCATAGCAAACATGTTCTGAAGAGTGAAGGTGTCTGGATTGAGATCGAACTTCATGCCAGTCATTTCCATTAACTTCTTCCAATGACTGTTAAGTAAAGAAGTCAAGATTACAAAATTAATACACGCTCTTTTTTTGTCGAGGCCAGAACAGAATAGACTTTCATTGCCCAGTTTAGACATTCTTATTCTTTCTGCCGAGTATTTTAATACAGTCAATGATTACATAGCATTCTATTTCGTTAAAAAAATTACAGGTGACAAAGAATTGAACTATCAAACAGAATTGTATTCTCTTTGAATTACTTTACATTTCCAACGGTTTTTATGAGTTTGCTTGCCTTTTTGGTTAAAAGAAAATCGCAAACATTTACCAGATCTTCACAACTGTAAAATTAATTTTTTACTGTGTTGTTTTTCCTATCAAAATTTTATTGTTATGAAAATCTCAGCCGTGCGTTTACTCCCAAATATTCTTGACTAAGTTATGAGTTGGCATATTCCTATGCACGTAAACAAAAAAACAAACATCGCCCACCGTTCCCGTAAAGCCTCGTTTTTCAGATCAGAAAAGAGTGGAATGGAATTCTTAAACTCCTTCATCTTCTCCTCCAGAATATGGCACAGCGGTAGGGCTTTCACCTCTCGCGGGAGTCTCTTAAGTCGTTTAATAAAGCCGTCAATACCCTCTGACAACACTGACACATCAAGGTTGGCCCACAGTGTGTTGGCCCATTCATCACGAGCCGCCTGGTGGATAGGAGCATATAGCTTATAAGTAATTTAGTAATTAATTTAGTTAATCAAAACGGCCAATCAGAGAGACGGAAACTATCACCAGGAGCCAATGAGAACTCTCAAAGTGAAAAGAAGTAAAAAATGTATAAAGCGCGGGAAAACGCGGATGCACAAGTCGCGACTTTGCTGAACCTATCACAGAGCGAGGTAAAAACTTTTATGCGATGCTTGGTTTCTCTCTACACTCAAACGAAAATTCCTCTAGATATACTTCTGAAGCAATCACAATTATTAACCACAGCAAAGGGGACAAAGACAAAAAAAAATTAATCCCTCGGGATGACTAAATATCGCGCAAATTCTTTGGGGAGGTTGGAGTAAATTTTCTTCATCTGTCTGGTCTCACCGTTTGTGCTGTGGAAATTTACAGCAACACTACAGGCTTAACCATTTGACCGTGGCAGTAAACACCCTTGAATACTTGGCTTGCTTCCATTTACGTGAACATTATTCGCATTACTTTCACCCCAACTTGCCTTTTGATTCTCGTAAATAGAGAAGATCTGATCCAATCCCTTCAGCTCTTTCTCCATGTCCAGCAGTTCAGGGTAAAGAGTGATCTGAAGACCAAACAGTTTTTCAGCATTCGCCAGTTCTTGACGCTCCTTTTCAAAGTTTGCAAACTCTTCTTTGAATTTCTTTAACAGTTCCACACCTTGAAAAAAAAAAAGACAATTAATCGAGTCCAGATCAAAACTTGAATCATATCATCGTGATTTAAGTGTTGTAAAGTTGAGAAAACCTCACATCAAACTTTGTAAATATACCTGCTTCAAGATCAGTGCCGATGGAGCTTGGACCTTCATTGATGAAGCTTTCTTTCAACTTTGAAATGTCTTTGGAAAAGTCTGAAACTTGATCTTGCGTGATCTACAAGACATATGTAAAAGAGAAAATTTAAATGTTATCCATTTTTTTCACCTAACGAAGACACCCGATTTACCCATTTCCCAATTGTGTTACATCATGAAGAGTTACATTAAATTATGTTCTGTTGAGTTGTGTGTGGAACTTACATAAATTTTGAACCAGTTCCAGGGCTGTGTACTCAAGCAGAGCATAAGTGTCACAGGTAACTAACCTCTGAGAAGTTCTGTCCCTGGACAACTTGCATAACTTTCCTTTTAATGAAGTTTTTTAAGAGCAGGGCACCCAAGATTTTGGAGACGAGAGCCTTCACGCACCTAGTTATAACTCTTAGAGCGCACTCTCGTTCTCTTGAAAGCCAAGTTCTGACGTGAAATTTTTAACTCTTTATACCCTAACATCAGTATGCATATTCTCCATACTGTTCTCTATAAATTTCCTGAGGTGCTGACAAGGAGAATTTGTTAAACAATCAGGAGCTTCTTTAGTTGGTGATCATTTCCTTGATTCTGAGGCGACATTGTAAGGAGGAATTAGATGGCAGTCACTCCTAGGGTTAAGAATGAAGTCGATAACATATGCAAGTATTAGGCAGCCTTGTATTACACATATCTTATTAACCAAGCGCGAGGGCCGTACTGGGAGAATATCGGCCCGAAGTCTTGACAGTACGGACCGAACGCAGCGAGGTCCGTACAAAAAAGACCGAGGGCCGATACTCTTCCAGTACGGGCCTGAGCAAGCTTGGTTAATAAGAGATTTATTATACGACTGAAGTTCAAAGGGACAAAAGTGCGGTATCATTCGGGACCATTCGGGACCATTCGGGACCATTCGGGACAGTGCCCGGTCCAACACTGAGAGAATATTGACCGGCAATGGAGCATTTTGATTGGTTGATTTTAGTTATTGGCCCTCTGACTGCCCGAGTCGTGTAATAAATGATTGTAACATCTTTTCTTCAACATATGTGTTCTCAAAACTTACTTCAGTGAATTTCTTCTTAACAGAGACTAAACTTGCGTCCACCATGCGAGATTCCAGGAACAGGTCATCCCACGCTTGCGTGATGTTGGTGGCTAGCTCCAGCTCGCTCTCGGGAACCTTTCAAAAAGAAAGAAGTGCAATACAGACATGAACAAAAGTGAGCTGTTGATAAGAGCCATGCTCGCCAGGCAGTAGCTAGCCAAAAATGGCCTTCTAGTCTGCCATATTTAGCGTTCACACTCAAAGATCCCCATAAGTATCTTTTTTACAGAAAGAGGTGAGGCAATAACGGAAGAAAAAGTAAAAGAATTTACTCGAAGGTGGAACGCCTGAGACAACAGCAAGAGCTGACGATAACATGGCCACTATTTTTAATTGCCTTCTTCTTTCAAACCTATTAGCAACCCTGGTCATACAATGAAGCTCGAGACACGGACAATTTGGCTGACTTAAGGCTGACTTAACGAAGCGAGGTATTTAGCGGGGAATTGCCAATTGAAAACGAGCCTAAACGATATTGTTTCGCACCTCTTGTTCCACGCTCAGGATAAAAAAACAAACAATATCATTGCAGTTTTCTTTTTTTCTTATGTTTATTCAATTGTGCGATTCAAGCAAAATCCATCACCTGACTCGTGAATTCCGCGTTAAATTGCCCGCAAAAACCAATAACGCACTCATCGCTTCGCGATTCGTTCGATATCGGTTTTCGCATGTAATTTAACGCGGAATTTCTTCGTCAGGTAATGAATTTTCCAATATATTTCTTTTATCTCTTACCTCAATCTCGTACATAAGAATTGTTCGGTATCTTTCCTGAATGTCGACATAGCGAAGGTCTACATCAAGAGACTTGTCTCTGATGTCTGCAATAACGCGCAGCACAAACTTCAAGTCTTCTAGTGTGTCTGGTTCTCGCTTGAGATCATCTGTTAAACCCTGAAACAAAACAGTTAAAAAGGGCTTCTCAGCGAACGCTACGACACAAAAAATATCCCGCAAACAAATACCGGCTCTTGTTGTTCGTTCCCTCCGTTCTATTTATCTGCTATTCGTTCACTAGGCCGGTTCTTTAATCTATTACCTTGATCATCCACCCGTTTCATCCTACAATCGTCCGTGCCTTTTCTCTTTTCATTTTTATTCGTTAAATTCTTCAATGGTCAGTTAACGCGTACGTTAATCAGGGTTCGATTAACATTACCGTTTACAAGTCAAGACAGCCAACTAGTGGACGGCATTGTAGCAAACGATTCGCCGAAAAAGTTAGTGCGAAAATTGCAAGACTCATCCATGAGATCGTTATCAAATTCCTACAAGAGAGATAAAGAAAATTCCAACCGTGTATTCCGTGAAATATCACCTCAATTTCTGCCTTGAGAGCATTCAGATCTTCCCTCGCCGATTCGTTCAAAAACTTGCCCAGCTCTTTTACCCAGGCCCTTGCATTTCCCTGAATGGTCGTTGCCAGCGGGTCCAGATTAAGACGAACAAAATCGATATCTTTCGTCATGGCCTGGTTTCCAACCTGGTAAAATATCACAAACTTGTTATAACCACTGTAAGAAGAATCGCTAAACGCGAAGGAGAAACGCACGGCGAGATTTTCACTAGTATAATTTCCGACCACGTCGTTAAAAATGAAGTAATCATTACGTAGGTGCGCTAATTGCTCAACCTGTGTGACATAAACTAAAACCGTTGTTCACCTAAGATGGTGTCGATGAAAGTGGTTAATATTTTACTCGTTGATTCATTGTTAGGTAAATGTCCACCGATATTCACCTTTACTTCGCTGAATGAGCGCTGACTATAAGAGCTGTGATAGCATCCGGTAACATATGAGTAAACATTGAAAAAAGCAGACATATCCCTTTACCTCAATGACCAGATTTGAGTAGAACTGTAGCTTTTCGTCATAAGCAATACACGTGGGTTTCTTCTGTGCAAACTTCTCCACCATGTTGCTCTGTTTCAAGGACAACAAATGAGCAAATCAGTAACGACACAAAAACTTCGAAAGTAAATTAAGACAGAGTGGTTATGTCGATAGACAATACGCAAATAACGACAAAATTGCGACTCGCGAGGAAAAATATGTTTAGTACACATGTACATGTACGAAATACAACTAGATTTTGAAGTCGAGATTCCTTTAAAATAACATTCGATAGAGCCACAATTATCAACGAGTGTCGAAGGTTATCCAGGATTGTTTTGGTTTCCCTTTGATTTGTTCTGACAGTGATTGGACCAGAAATCTAGCGCCATTATCTCAACCAATCAGATTCAAAACAAAAACCAGTCGCCACATGGTCACCTCCGTTTTCCCGCGCTTAGCGCACTTTTCTTGTCTCAATGACAACTAGGGTTTCTCTCTGTCTTATCTCTGATTGGTTGTAATGATAATTTTGGTTTTGGTTTTACTTAACTTAATCGCAATTGCGCTCTACAACAAGTAACCGGATTAATGATCATAACAACACGGTCGAGTAGTAACGATAGACATACTTCATAAAACCTACGTGGTTCATGAAAACAAAAACTACTCTGTTTGTCGAAAATAAGCCTCAGAAAAACGAACGAGAAGTCGCCTGAATGGCTCATACCAGATGAACGGCTTAGCCTATCATACTGGCGCGTTCCCGTCCCTAAATTGGAACATTTTTATGTATAATAATTTAATATTTATATCCAGACATCACCAACCTTGTCAAGTTTCCATAGCAATCTGTACCTGCGCCAGCGAGTCAGGTGTTTGTTCAGGTTTCCCAGAGTGTTCTGCACGCTTTTAGAAAGAGTAGTCACCTGGTCTATGATAGCAGGATTGGCCGAGATATCGGTGAAGAAACTGAACACTACTGGCTCGTCCTCACCTTCAGCGTGCTGGGGCGGAGTCTCGATGCACGTGCCGTTCATCCATCGAACAAACATTCTGGTTCTGTGAAGGAAACCAATGCAACATTGGAATCAAATGTCGAGATGCAAAACTCGCCCAAAGCGTCTCACTGTGCCAATGTTTCATGGACTAAATGTAAAATAGGCCAGTGCAGTGGTTTCCACAATATGATGTTGGGGCTTTAGGGAGGTTTGCAGGGGCATTGCCAGTGCCTTCAGTAACATTTTTTGCTTCATTCGTCTCCCTGGCTCCCTTCGAGATTTTGGGTAAGTATCTATTCAACATACCAGTTCAGCTGCGTCGTACTGACCAGTTAGAGGACAGATAAGAGAGATAATCATGTACAATGAATCCATCATACATTTTAGACGCAAGATATGAGCATAAAAACCAATTGATCATGTATTTCTGGCGAATCGACCGTTTTAACAAGGAATAATCCCACTGAGTGCTCTTGATAGAGACATCGTCCCCTGACAAACAACGTTTGACTTGACGCTGATAACGACTTCGGCTCGGGTTGTCAAAACGTCAGTAACTATGGCAGACAACAGTCCTTTTGAGGAATACTCTCACCTTGGAAGATCAGACTACACGATCGACAAGATCTGTACAGACAAGTAACACTACACAAGTCAGACCTGTGAAGACCAGTGTTATCTTTTAAACTTACCCCTCCACCATGTCTCTGATTGACTGCATGATTAATTTGTAGATCTCATTTGCCGGGGGAGACAAGACAATCTCTGGCGCAGACAACACTGTTTCGATCTGGAACAATGGCTGACGGGCATGGAGTTGCTGGTTAAACTGCTGCAGGTTTTTAGTCACCATCTGAAAAAAAAAAAAAAGAGCTCCAAACTCAACTTTTATAAAAGTCTAATATATCAACAAAGTTGAAATGGTAAATTGGCCACCGTTACGAAAAGTAATTTATAAAAGTCGCCCTAAGAAATATATAAAATTTATACTTTTATAAAAGTCGCCAAGCTGGCGATCTAAAACATAAAATGGTCAGAATAGAAAATAAATTGCAAGGAAGAAAACGAGAAAGGAAAGAAAAGTTAAAAATCTTTTTTTGAGTTTCACAGGACATTCCTGAGCTCATTACTTGAACAATCAAGGCCGGAGAAAGGGGCCAATTTTTAAAGAGAAAACGACAGCGAATAATGATGACTCATACAAATGCATGTCTCAATTCATTTTAGACCATGATCTCCAATTAAGACAAACATCAAAGCTCGTCTCATGATTACCAATTACAAGTCGTGGGTTGGCGACTTTAGCTACACCTTCAGATGCTAATCTAAGTTGTTAAATTTAAAGTTACGGTAAGTAAGTAAGGACCTTTGTGAGGGCTTCATAGACTGCATTCTCCCAGTAAGCATAGTAAGGCTGTAGTTTGGTTGATCTGCCAGTGTTTGTGTGAACGACAAGTCCTTCCATCTTCGTCAGAAGCGGTCCAATAGCTCTATATCTTCTGGCCAAGTTTTCAAGCTCCGTTGCTCTTGCTTTCTCAAGATACTCAAAGAACTCCTGCAAGAATTTTGCATAAAATTAAAGCAATTTGGAGTTATAAATTTTTCTTGGGTTTAAAATTCCTTAAAGTGGCTTTTTTTTTTCTCCATCTAAAGAAATGATCATCACTTGCTGTTACAGGTGAACAAAAAGCGAGAGACAAGGTGTTGCATTCCTGGGTACTAAGAAAATTGTTAGTGAGCTGTCAATGAGGTAGACCCGACATAACCCTCAAGTTTCCCTAAGACAACAAGCAAATCCATCCAGGAGAAGGGAACGGGGGCACAGTCTACTTTGCAATTGTTTATGACGTCAGAAGACGGTTGCGCAAGCACAGAGTAAAGGGAATAGAACACCTCCTGATCGCCTCATGCTTTTTGAAACTTGAGAATAAGCTTGAGTACTACAACTGTCAACTGTCAACTGTCAATTGTCAACTGTCAACTGTCAACTGTCAATTGTCAACTGTCAACTGTGCGTTGACCGTCTCGACTCGAAACTTGATCCTCGACTCTCCAAAGTTTCGAGTATAAACAAGCATCAAGTTTCGAAAATCTAGAGTCGAGTTTCAACACACTGGTAAAACTTTTCGCGGAGATGTTTTAACACTCAAGAGCAGAACAATAGCAAACTAGAACGTCATCATAAAAGTGGTACAGAAGTCTGATAACCTTTGCATCAGGAAGTGCTCCTCCCATTTTGGGCGGTGGGTGTTTGAACAACACTGTTTTCTCCATCATCTCTAGGCGGCTGTTGATGTCTTTAGCATTCTTTTGGATTTGATTCACAAGTGATTCAAATTTGCTGATAGCCTGGGAATGCAAACGAAAGCAATATCTCAGTACTGTATTAGTAACCGTGCAAATAGAAAAGCTGAATCTTTTGGCGTGTACGAAACTTAATATAGCTTTCCTCTGGTCAACTTTCAATTGAGTGTAGAAAGTAATACAGGATTTTTTCGTTTTTCTTTACTTCACTTTATGATTGGTCCAGAAAACTCACGCCATTTTCTTAACCAATCAGATGCAAAACTAAAACCAACCACGACTTGGTCATCCCCGTTTTCCCGCGCTTGAGGAAGTTTGCTTGGTTTTACTTTGATTTCTTAAAGAACCCACATCACGAGATAACTGTGATGTGGTCTGGCCTGTTTACTGGGAATGGGGCGAGGGGGCATCTGTAAAATTGCTCCTTTATTAATTGTAAACTGCCGCCGGCAGTTGTAAAGCGCATTAGAGCATTTACATGGAAATGCGCTATAGCAATCGATCTATATTATCATCATTATCATCATTATCATCATTATCATCATTATCATCATTATCATCATTATCATCATTATCATCTTTATCATCATTATCATTATTATTCTGATTGGTCGTTGATATAACTTTGGTTTTGGTTTTACGACCCTTCATCGAAGGGCCCGGCTCTTATGCTGACATGAACTGCTTCAATATTGCACGTGTTACGTACCTGTCCACATCTTGTGATGTAGTCACTTATTCCAAGCGAGTTCCAGTTCAATCGTTTTGCCCCTGGCTTTAGGACACGTTTTAACTCTTTGATGTGATCTTCCAGAAGTTGTGTCTGGTAAAAAAAAAAAAAAAGAAAGCAATGTAAACTTACTCATGATTAAGCATACAGCAAGCCCTCTGGAAGAGTGCTAGTGATGTATCAATGTCTACAACATAAACACCTCACACATACGTGATTTAAACCTAATTTTACCTTGAAGAACCAGTGAAAACGTAAATTATTCAAACCTATGTTAGTGAGAATCAAGCCATAATTCTTCCTCGTACTGAGAAGTCACACGTAACTGAAGTTTTAACTTATACAGTCAAGTAACTTACGTATTTTACTTATATATACAGTTACCTCTGCAACATTGAGACTTCCAAGAACAGTGTGGTATCTGTCTAACATAAGCTTCAGGCCATCCACATATTTCAGGTACTTCTCTTCCTGTTAGTATGAATTATCACAAAAATCAATGATGTTCATTTAAGCGCTTAAAAAAAAAAACCTCATTGTACCTAGAGTTATTTTCTTTGAACATACAAAACAGTTACCACCTTCATCTCTGAGGAAATTGTGCATCATTTTTTAGATAGTGAATTTATCGCTTGGATTTACTAAGTGCCACAAACAGTATCATCCGTACATCGTGAACTCCAGTCAAACATTTTCCATTCTAACCCTCCCACTCAATAAGCACGTGCTTACACATTACATAAAACAGACACTCACATAAGCTTTTCATTACAAGTACAATTCCTAATGCAGCACTCACTATAGCTCAATCACATAACAACAGA